TGGCTGTTGGGATCCCTGAAAGCAGGCTGTGATGGGCTGAGAAGTGATGTGTCGGGGGAGGGCTCAGAGAATAGGTGGACCCTGGCCTGAGACCACCCCTGGGGCATCTTTTCTTCGTTCCTGGGCTGAGTTCCTGACCACAAAGCCAGTGACTGAGCCCTTGGAAAGTATGCAATAGTGTAATCCTCCCACCCATGTGCCTACTCCTTGCAGAGGATGCCAGCAGATCTGCATTTTTCACATTGCTGGGTAGATTTTGAAGAGCTGAGCCAGGCAGAAAGGCCCAGACGTCTGCCCTGAAGGGGGCAGGTATGTCTCAGGGGTGCTTAGCAGTGAGGGGTTTATTTCTCTCTTCCAGCCCCGTTTGTGTTTACGGGTCTAGAACCTCAGCCACCTGGCCCTAGGGTTCTTGTGATAATTGGGTGCAGCCCCTTTTTAACTGTGACAAGTTGGGGACTCCGAGATGGCACAGGACTTTCTAGGGGCCATTCTCCTGAGGATTTACTCTGTACAGCCCATCCTCTTGAGAAGAAAATTCCCCGTCTAAGGAAAAATACTGAGTGTGATGATTCATTCTCAGTGAAGTTGAACTTCTGAAGTTTCTTCCTCGGTTGCACTTCCTTCCCTCCTGACAAATACCTCCTGTCAATTTGTATACACACCCCTTGGTTGTGGCTTCCCCAAACTGTCCCAAGGCTCTGTGCCTGCATAGTTTAAACAGATTTGTGTCATGGTTTTTCCTACAGATAATGACAAATCTGCAAAGGGAGTGTGTGCTGTTTCTGTACAAAGTCTTTCCAAACACCCACCCAGATATTCCATCCTATCCATGGGTCCCCTCTCTGGTTGATGCCACCAGGGTTGTGGTGTAATTCTGGGCAATCACTTCAAGAGCCTTTTGTTGGGCATCCATTGTGGGCAAAGTGCTCCCCAAGGTGTGTGTGTGTTTGGGGGAGGGAACAAAGTCAATTAAACTGCCCAGCGCGGGAAAGCAAGATGTTCACAAATATCCCTGGGGGTGAGGAAGTTGGCGGGGGTTTGGGGGTGTGTGAAGCAGGAGCCTGGAGGGCAGGGCAGGGGCACTTTTGACTGGAAAGATCCCAGGAGGCTGCCTGGAGGAGGAGGCATTTCTGGTGGTCCTTGAAGGTTGACCAGAAGGCTGCCGGGACAGGGTTTGTGTGACAGTGGGAGGTGCAGAGTGGGAAGGCCCCTGCACACAATGATCTGTGGGTCGGGCTCAGGGGAGGGGAGGGAGGTGTGGATAGGGATGGGAGGAAGAGGGCACAAAGGCTGTTAGCCAAGACAGGTGAGAGGGAATCAGGACATTGGTGGTGGGACTGCAAAGGCAAGGGAGGGTGACCCTTAGTGTTCTCCTCTATGAATGAGTGGGGCATCAGACTGGATCCGTGGGGTGGAGAGGGCAAGGGAGATGGGACCGTCCCACCCCAGTTCATTTGAACATACCCGCTTTTACCTGTTCTAGACTCTGCATTTTGGCATTGGACTCATTCAAACCAAAGATTCTGTTGCTTAAAAAATACACTGAAAATCGCCAGGTAGCATGTCTGCTAAGGCTCCTCCCATCTCTAAATGTATCCCACACTTCTTGGTAACCTCAACTTCCTGATGTTTTCCGGGTATTTTCTTATGATTCTCAAGCATTTGGCCTTTGTCCATACTCAGTGACAAGCTTCTAGAGGGCAGGGAGCTTCTATACACTTTGACTGTTGTTAAAACACCCAGCAGGGGTGTGAACACAGGCCTTCCATAACTGCCGCTGGGGTGCTGCCACCAGTGCTCCGAGCAGGCTTCTGGGTTCCCACTGTTTCCCTCTCTCAGAAAACTGGCCAGTGGGCACCTAAAGGGTTTGATGAAAATGACACTGAACTGGGCAGGAGACCTGGGTTCAAATTCTGCTTGCCGTTCCCTAGCCCTGGGACTGGGGCCATTCACACAGACTCTCTTTTTCTTGGTTTCGTTTTCAGTGAAATAAGGGAGCTTTTTTTAAAAGCCATGTTTCCCAAATGTGACCACAGAGAACTAAGATGACAACAGGGTGTCCAGACACATTGTGAAGACATAATGTCTTGTATATATGTAATTTATTATTAAAGTGTTACTGAGTTCATAGTGCCTGTTAATGGCAAGTGTAATATAGACTAACATTTATTAGATGCTTGCTAGTTGTGAATTATGTGTGAGTGCCTGTCTCAGGTTGGACTTTCAAGCCCAGAGAAAAGAATTTGTATGCAGGAGACTCATGTAGGATTTCTCTGAGAATGGACGAAGCAGGGCAGAGGAAGAGAAGAAACCAAGCAGGGGTGTGATTTTAGGTGAAGCCCCAGTCTCAGCCTGATCGCGTAGGGGGCTCTGGAGTGTAAGTTACATTGTGGAGTTTGTCCTCACTGATGGCAAGGGAACTGGGCTTTCATATACCGACCCCGGTCCACTGCGGGCTCAGGGCCACCTCAGTGGGGTGATGGTGGTGTTGGGGGCTGTGAACTCCCAGGTGCTTCTGGCTTTTGTGTCACATCACAGAGCAGCCTTGGTAGCCTTCAAACAGTTTTCTGATGAGAGTTAGAAAGAAGATGAAGGGAAAAAGCCCAAGAAACCATGTGAATGCTCTGATGGTTCTGGTGGAGTATTCACAGGACCTGCTTGCTCATTCTCAGCTCACTCAAACTGACAAAAGAAATTTTCACATATTGAGATATAGGGAAGTCATTCTGGCTTATCCATGAATTAACCTGAATTTTACACTAACTAAAATAGCCTGTTTATGGCCTATCAAACACACATTGTACATGTGCTTTAATTATTAGAGAAAAGCACACACTGACCAAAAATAAAGAATGTCCACGTTAAAAATAAAGATTAAATGCCTGTCTTCCTGGGATGCCAATGCTGGTACTCCTTTAACGATAAGACACCCTCCTCAGGTGCAAGGCCATGCTGACTTGCTATGTACATGCTGGTCTGTTCTTTTTTTTTTTTTTTTTGAAACCTTGAAGAAATGTATCCCTGACTTTAATTTCTTTGCTCTGACAAGGTATAAAACTGTGCTGGAAACCATGCTTCTCTGGGACAGTTCCTCTGAGTAATCTGGACAGTGGGCATCCAGGCTAGCCCTCAGTTTGGCTCAAATAAAACTCTTTTCTATTTTTTATTCTTGATTGTTTATTGCTTATTTTCATTGACAAATCCTTCCAACAACCTTGGGAAGTAAGTAGTATTGTCTCCATTTTACAGGAGACTGAGGCACGGAGAAGTTAACTTGCCTATGGTCACATAGCTAGTAAGTGGCAGACCCAAGATTCAAAGCAAGAAGCCCATGCTTTTACCACCATACTGCATGGTGCTTCCCCAAATACAGCAGCTGTCATGTGTGTAATCGAGAATACTTGGGGAAAGAGTGAACAAAATATTGGAGGGTCTGTGTGGCAGTCTAACGTTCGATGACATCATGAGCTCTTGCCAGTTTATGCTCTGATTTCAAAGCAATTTCAGGGGCAATTTGGATTTCAATTATTTTCTGTCTTAACAATCATTCTGACTGAAGCAATTTAAATCAAAATCATAAAGGTCCAACCGTAGTTGGTTAATAGCTACGAAAACAATGGCCAGAGGTGAAAGATTTTTAAAGAACTACAAGGCATTTCTGTTGGCAGAATAATTGAGAGATGGCTGTTTGGGTGGGAAGCAAGGTGATCTAGATTTCTAGTTTCAGTAAAATTACTTAACTGACAACATATGGTTCCCAATCACTGTAGCAGACCAGGGAGGTGTCTTTTAAGTGGGGAACACGTGGAATGGTGCAAGATGGAAGATTCCTTACTATGGCAAAGAGAAAAGGTTGTCTTCTAGTCACTGTTAAATTCTTGGCATTAATTGTCTCTTTCCTCCCTGTAATCCTGTGTTCATGAGGGTAGTGACACAAAGTTCCCATCATGGGCCACTTTGAGACTTCCATGGGCGGTGAAGCACTCTATAACCGTGCCGTGCGCAATACAGTCAATTGTTGAGGGCGCTCGGGGGAGGTCTTGACCTAGACTCACAGTGGTTCTCAATCAGGGGCAGTATCCTTGCCCTCCCCAAGGGTTCTTGGAAATATGGGAGGGATCACAGTGAATAGGTTGTCTCATGGTGAGTGTATGTGAGCTACTGGAATTTAGTTCCCAGGGGACTAGTGGTGCTAAATATCCCGCAATGCACAGGACAGGCCCACTTGAGGAAGAAGTCTCACTCGAATGCTAATGACACCAACACTGAGAAACTCTGGGAGAAGTGATTTGAAGAAAGTGAATCATCTTCAAGTATGAGACACCATGGCCTCTGAAATGACTTACACTTTTCCATGTACCTCTGGAAGACCACATGTGAAATTAGATGGAGACCAAGCATCTCAGCAGTTAAGGCTGCTCAGGATGGACTTGTCCTTTTTTTTGGTAGTGAGCTCCCCAACACTGGAGGTATTCAAGAAGAGGCCTGTTGACCTCATGGAAGGGATATTGTGAAAGGGATATCCAGCCTGAAGAAGAGGATGGATTAGATGATCCCTGAGAGGTATCCTAGTACCAAGTTACAAGGATTCTTCTTATGGTTTATTCTCAGAATTCCAGGTGAGGCTTGGGAAGGAAGGAGTTAAAACTGAAAATCCCCCTGCATATGTGTGAGGTCTAGTCTGAGAAATAATGATGGACTGAAAGAACATGAGTCTAGTATTAAGAGATAAAGGAAAAAGCACATTGTGTTGGAAAGACCTCTGGGTGAGGAGTCAGCCAGCCCTGATTCCTGTCTCCACTGGGATCTCGCTGGTGAGTGTGGTGCTGGGAGGATCACATTTTCTCTGCATCTGTCAGGTGATGGCTGTCAGTGGTTCAAAGCTCAGAATCTGTGATTCTATAGTTTAGGGGTAGACCCGTGTTCTTTTTTTTTTTTTTTTAATGTGGACCATTTTAAAAGTCTTAACTGAATTTGTTACAATGTTGCTTCTGTTTTAGGCTTTGGTTTTTTGGCCACAAGGCAAGTGGGATCTTAGCGCCCGGACCAGGGATCGAACCTGCGCCCCCTTCATTGGAAGGTGAAGTCTTAACCACTGGACCACCAGGGAAGTCCTCTAGACCATGTTCTTTGACATAATTCTACTGTGGCCTTAGGTAAGTACTTTATGATTCTTTCCCAATATGTGAAATAAAAATAATGTCTATTTTTTTTCTAATTCACAAGGAAATAGAATCAAGTAAGCTTGACAGCCAGAATACCTACCTTAAAAGTAGAAAGGATGGTAAAGTAAGTGTCATTTTGACATTTTCCTTCTCTAACACCACCTAAACGTTCTAGTACCAGTGGGTAAATGGGTCTCACTAAGTTGTTTGCATCCTTCACAAATCCTTGATACCCTTCTTTTTGGAGTCCCGTGCTTCATCACAGCGAACATATTATAATATTCTCACATCCCCATTAAATAAATTTACATATAACAGTATGTTTTTTATTCTGATAAAATGTTTTATAAGCATTTAATTAAATTATACTGAGTTTCATATTTTGGAGATGATGAACTTGTTTTTTCTTGATCTCAAACCTTCTTGGTAGGCCCTTTAAAAACTCAGAGCTACTTGTCACTGTAACTAATAATGCTTGGTAAATGTCTTTAGAGAAAAGACTTAGGTCAGTTGGTAAAAAGAAAAAAATTCCTTTCTCAGAGCCTCCCTCTATGTTCCAATAGGCTAGCCCTTTTATTTATTTATGTTTTATAGCATTTTTTAAAATATCTATTTATTTATTTGGCTGTGCCAGGTCTTAGTTGTGGCACGTGGGATCTTCGTTGCCACGTGTGGGATCTTTTAGTTGCGGCATTCGGGATCTTTAGTTGTGGCATGGGGATCTTTTAGTTGCGGCATGCGGGATCTAGTTCCCTGACCAGGGATTGAACCCAGGCCCCTGGAACTGGGATTGTGGAGTCTTAACCACTGGACCACCAGGGAAGTCCTGGTTAGCACTTTTAGGTCAAGATGCATCTGGGCACAGGAAAGGAGGACATGGGGAGGCCATTGGTAATGGCCAAATGCCTGCAGCTAATTTGTAGGTACCTGTGAAAAGTAGTGAATGTGCGTGCATGTGTGTGTGTGGTAGTGAGTGACAGATGAGGGCCCTGAGGGGTAAAGGGTTATGAGAGAAAGGACAGCACAGGGTCAATGGTAGGGCATGGTAAGCAGAGTTCTGAGACGGCTCTCAAAATACCCACCTCCTGGAGTACACAGCCTATATAATCCCTCTCCCCCTACCCCCAGTTGAGTGTGTGAACATGATGAGATTTCACTCCTGTGGTTAATGTCATATGGCAAAGGTGAATGGATTTTGTAGATTTAATTAAGGCCCTTAATCAGCTGACTTTACATTATCAAAGGGGAGATGATCCTGGGTGGGCCTGACCTAATCAGGCGAACACTTTAAAAGGAGGTCTGGAGGTCAGAGATGGAAGAGGTTAGAGATACTCTCCTGTTGGCCTTTGTTATGGACTGAATGCTTGTGCCCCACCCCTCTCCCCAGTCGTATGTTGAAGCCTTGACCCTTAATATGATGGTTTTAGAGCTAGGGTCTTTGGGAGGTCATTAGGGTTAGATGAGGTTGTGAGGGTGGGGCCCTCATGATGAGATTAGTGCCCTTATAAGTAGAGGCACCAGAGAGCTTTCTGTCTGTCTCTCTCCCTCCCCGCCTCCCCACCCCGAGCACATGCATGTGCAAAGGTCACGTGAGCCCACAGTGAGGAGGTGGCTGTCTGCAACCCAGCTGGAGAGCTCTCACCAGAACTCGACCATGCTGGCACCCTGATCTCGGACCTCCAGCACTGTGAGAAAATAACTTTCTGTTGTTTAAGCCACCCAGTCTGTGGTATTTTGTTATGGCAACCTGAGTAGATTCATTTAGCCTTGAACAAGCAAACTACCATGTTATCAGAGGGCCATGCAGCAGGACTAGCAGGTCTTTAGAAGCTGAGAGCCTCAGTTCTACAAATGCAGGGGGCTGAATTCTGCCAACAACCAGTGAGCTTGGACAGGGACCCTGAGGTTCAGATGAAAATGCAACCTTGTGAGATCCTGGGCAGAGAACCTAGCTAAGCCATGCCCAGGCTCCTGACCCATGGAACTGACAGATAATAAATGGGTGTGGTTTGAAGCCACTAAGTGTATGGTGATTTGTCACATAGCATAGAAGACTGAGGCATACTGCCTGTTGGAGGGCTGCCTTTGCTCAGGACAAGACAAAGTTGGGGGGGCGGTAACCTGTTTTCCGTCACTTTCCTTCTTAGTGTCACTCAGCTGAATTTTTGCACCTATATGATTCACAATATATTTCTCTCAGGAAAAGTGAGGAGAGTCTCTGTATTGGCTTCAGTATTAAAGGTCCAGCTAACCATGGACTCCATGTGTGATGGAATTTCTGTGCTGAAGCACTTTGCAAGTTTTCCTTGGAAGGTAGCTCAGGATGGATTTAAGAGAATGAGAAGCTTTTATCGGCCATGGCTTCAAGGAAAGAAGCAGTGCCATAGGAGACCAATAATTCCTTTCCGGATAATATTTCCCATTCTTCTCTCCTGTTGCTGACAGTTGCTCTTTATTTGTTCTCAAATGAATTCTACCAGTCGGCCCGCAGCTGGAAGTGTGTTTGGTCACCAGGAGGTTCTCTGCCCTGCATTCCTCCTGGAGAGATGAAAAAACTGGGAACTCACCCTGTTACTCTCGAGTTTCCTGCCTTTTTTGACTCAGCATTAAGTGGAAAGAAAGTTGAGTTTTGATAGAAAAAAAATCTCTCGGACTCTCTCCCCTTTCAGGTTAGAGGAAGAAAATGCATCCACAAACTGGAGCCCTGGTGGGTGTGAATTGCACAGTTTCGAGGAAACTTGATATTGTGTCTTTGACATCACGTTGCACTTGATTAAGGGCCGTTTCATCCTGCTGATGGAGTCTCTTTCCTCCATGACCCAGGTCCCGTCCATAATCCCTCTCTCAAAGCCTTTTCCTTTTCATTATGTGGTCGTAATTATTTCTCTGTCGAGCACATAACCTAACACCTCTCGGTGCACAGTGCCAAGGTTTGAAACCATAATAAGTGGAATGCTCACCTTTGAAGCCATTACTTCAATCATTAGAACAAAGTTTATTCCTCAAGAGGACATTAACATTTGAAAATGTGTCAACCAGAGTAAGAAATTCATCACGATCATGGACTACCTGCCAACTGGTTAAAATGCAATATTCCAATTTTCCTGGATTTTTTCAACGATCTAACATCTGACATTAGTTTACGTTTTTAAGTTGTCTTTGTTCAGTTCCTGGTAAGTTGTTTGTGAAGGTCAAAGAAGTTGATTTTTAAACACCAAACTAGGAAAGAAATGCAGCCAGAAGAAGGCAAAGGGATCCACTGAGCGTATCAGGGCTGATGGGAGAGACTTCCCAGCCCAGGAAGCCATTTCCATCCTAGTGGGACTCAAAGCGGACAATGGCCTCTGCGTTTGGGCACCTATAATTTTAAACAAAAATGAGTCTGGTTGCTGTGCTGAATTTCTTAGAAGACTTTAATGAGATTATCTCTGAAGTTCAATTGGTAAGGAGTAAAGGACAAATATTCCACTTCTGCCTAGGAAAAAGCCACATTTCATCATTAATAGCATTGAAACCATTAGTTGAAAACATCTAGCAAAACAGTGTAGGTTGGAAAGTAAAAATATAAACTCCCCTAGATGTGGAACGTGGAGGTTAGTAATACGTTAACCCAGTGATTTTCTGGATGGTCTTTGTCATCAAAGTAGCACCACTTCTTTCTAAAGCTCAGGGAGGGAACCAGCAAAGTGAAATGGTGCAATTAGAGTGACCTTAACCGTTCACCCTGCAGCTTCGGGGATGTATTAAAACTGGGGAATATTTTTGGTTGGGTATTCCATAGCTCCTTGCCTGTGGATCCAAATCTCTTCCTGTTATCTAATGCTGCATGACGAACCACCCAAACTTCAGTGGCTTGAAACAATAATATTTATTTTGCTTATGAATTTGGGCAATGGGGACTTTTGGGAAGTCAACTGGGGTAGTTTGAAGGCTGGGGTTAGAATCATCTGAAGGTCATTCCCTCCGATATCTGGGGATTAATCCTGGGAAGATTAAAACAGTGGGGGCTAGCACGGTTGGAGTTCCTTGGGCATCTTTCTGTTTCCATGTGTCCCCTCCAGCTTGGTGGCTTCAGAGTAGCCAGCCTTCTTATATGTCAGCTCAGCATCCCAAGGTCTACATTCTAAGAGAGAGCTAGGCTATGGTCAACAATACTACGCTGTACACTTAAACTTTTGTTAAGAGGGTAGATCTCATGTTGTGTTCTTATCACAATAAAATAAAATTTAAAAAGAGAGAGAGAGAGTGCCAGGGAGAAGCTGTATCACCATTTGTGACCCTGTCTTGGAAGATATGCTGCATCACTTCCACTGCCTTCTGTTTATTAGATGCAAGTTGCTAAGCTGGCCCATATCCAAAGGCGGTGGAATTCCACTCCACTTTTTTTTTTTTTTTGCAATACGCGGGGCTCTCACTGTTGTGGCCTCTCCCGTTGCGGAGCACAGGCTCCGGACGCGCAGCCTCAGCAGCCATGGCCCACCGGCCCAGCCACTCCGCAGCATGTGGGATCTTCCCAGACCGGAGCACAAACCCGTGTCCCCTGCATCGGCAGGCGGACTCTCAACCACTGCGCCACCAGGGAAGCCCTCCACTCCACTTTTGATGGTGTCAAAGAATTTGCAGACATATTTTAAAAGCGCTGCAAATCACTAAAATGTTTTCGAGCATCTCTGCCAGCATCTCTGGAGGCACAGTTGGTGATAAAGAGACACATGAGCCACGGCCCTACCCTCATCTAGGTGCATCTCAGCCTGGACGTAAGGTCATACCAAGTAAGATGACAGTAGCATAGGAAAAAATGATGAAACACATACAGGAACATTATCTCTAAAAGAGATTAATTACTGAACAAAGTCAAAGACGAGCTAGGAAATCTGAGGCTCTTGAGATGATTTCTCACTGGGCTGAGGAGGTCTGGGAAGGTAGCTGTGAACTTGGAAGCTGCAAGTAGTAGTACATTTACAAAACACTTTCACATGCTGTGTAGTCAC